ACCATCCTGCAAAGTAAATATCATATTCTATTCTACATTTTAAGAAACTAGGGTATGGACCAGTAGGTGATATGGTGCTGAAGGTACCAACACACATGGTTGATCCTGGTTGGAGTCCCAGACCCAAAGGCTCAAAAATCATTCCAGATGCATGTGTATGCATGCCCAAAATCCCAGGAAAGGAAAAGAGAAGTGACTGCGGCATGGTTATCACCCTTCGGGGGATGATATCTCATTTTCCCCTTCTCTGCCTCTCTCTGGCAAGCACACATGCCCTATGGCAAAACCTAAAAAAAGAAAAAAAGAAAAGAAACAAAACTGCAGTTTGCATCTCCTCCAAGACACAAAAGAAACACCACCTTAATTAAATGATAAAAAATTATCACTAACATACATGATATATACTTCATATACCATGATATAATGTTTACCCAGATCAACCTTATTTCTTCTAAAAATTTATAGCCTGATTCTAATCATAAGTAACAAGAGACAAACTGGGAGACAGTGCACAAAATAACTGGCCTACACTTCAATTATGTCAATGTCATGAAATTAAGAAACAGTTCCACATTAAAATAAATGAGAGAATTGATACCTGAATACAACATATGATCAGGAACTTAATTAGCTAAAAAGGACATTATTGGGACAACTAGAAAGGTATGTTCTTTTGATTAGATAAGGAGTTAATTTTTCTCCTTTTGTATAATTATACTCTATGTAAAACAAGGTGTTTGGTTTTTTAAAAATATATATACTGAACTATTAGTAAAGAAGCATCTTGCATCAGGACCAGCAGATGAAGAGAGTTACAGTGCTGGCATCTCACGGAGTTGACTATGGTTCGAGTCCTGGACCTGGTGGCTTAAAACTCATACATGTGTGTGCATCCCCAAAATCCCAAAAGGAGAATGGAGGAGAAGGGATTGCAGCATGGCCATTCCCCCAGAGGGTCACTTTCTGTCTCTGTCTCTTTGGTGAGCATATGTGCTCTATAGCAAAAACCTCTATTAAAAAAATAAAAAAGAAGCATCTTGCTTTGACACGCTCTCAAACAGTTTATAGAGATTAAGTGTCTGGGGAAGGACAAGGGAAAAGTAAAACTGGTAGAAGTGTTCACATCCAGGAAATCTGGAAAATGGGTATTGGATAATTACATGTATTGCTCTTGAATCTTGACATCTCAAAGTATGTTCTCTTAAAACAAAGAGGTTCGATGAGGCTTAAATAACTCTCTGGTTAGGAAAGCAATAGTCCCAGAACAAAAACAAACCCATATTTATACATATTCAAAAGAGTTCTCTTGGGGGGCCAGCAGGTGGTGTGGTGGTTAAGGCGATGGATACTCCCACACGGTCAACCATGGTTTGAGTCCCAGACCTGGAGGCTTGCTTTCTCGTATTTTCTCTTTCTCTTTCTCTCTGTGTGTGTGTGTGTGTCTACTCAAATTAAAATAAATAAATGAATAAAGAAAATTAATTATTAAAAAAAAAAAAAAGAGTTCTCTTGGGACTAGCAGGTAGTATGGTAGTTAAGGTGCTAGATTCCCACATGGCCGATCGTGGTCCCTGATAGCTTTGGTGGTAAAGATGCCAATACACCAGGTCCCTGACCAGGCAACTTGAAAATCACATCAGGTACATAATATGCACATGTCTAAAATCCCAGGAAGGGAATGAAGGGATTGCAGCATGGCTATCCCGAGGGATCATTTCTCACTTTCCCAGTCTTGGTGTTGTCTCTCTCTGATGAGCACACACACCCTATAGCAAAAAAAAAAAAAAAAAGGGCTCTCTTGCATTATACAACCTGAATAGGTTATCTCAAAACATCTCCACTACTGGACTTGTACAACTGGACAATTAGCAGCTTTACCATCGCCCCTTTTTACCCCGATTTAAGGTTATTTTTTAGAAAGTAATTCCCAGAAAGGAATTGGTGAACAAATGAACACAAATTATTTTTCTAAAACATAATAGTACTTTTGAAAAATTCTCACAATATTTGTATAGAAAGGAAAAATTAAGATCCTAAGAATCTAGGAATCCTTCTCATAGCTCAATGGGCAGTTTTTTCTTCTGCTTAGACAAATTGGGCCACCCTCAAATGATTAAGAGAAAAACTAACAGTGACAACACCTTAAGGGGATGAGTTCTCCCTCCCTCCATATGGACAACTTTGATTCTCTGGAAATCAGCCCAAAGACACTGCTTGGAGGAGATAGCAGGGAAGACCCTTTATATTCCCAATATTTCATTTGGGCTTCCTTCAAATGCTGGCACTTTTTATGTTTACTGATGTGATAAACAAAATGTGAAATAACTTTGCTTAGCTTTATACTTATTATTAGCAGGGGTGCATCAATAATTACTAGCAAATTTCTTCTGTACAACAAACTTTTTCTTAAGCACTCATCGACAAAGGGAGGCAATAACCTAAAAAGTCCAAATTTTTATCAAAACTGAATAATCTTTCTTGATCAGTTTATGAATAAGCATCACTCAGGGTTGAGATTACTTAGGAAAACACTGAATATCAGAGATATCTATCAATAGTAGCAAAATACAGGGCTACCCTCACATTAAAAATATTAATGCAGCGGTAGACAACAGCCAGGATGGAGGCAACTTTGGAGCAGCACTTGGAGGACACAATGAAAAATCCATCCATTGTTGGAGTTCGGTGCACAGATTCACAAGGACATAATCTGCGCAGCCATGGGACCCTGTCAGATGAGCATGCTGGGATGATATCAGTTTTAGCCCAGCAAGCATCCAAGCTAACCTCCGACCCCACTGATATTCCTGTGGTGTGTCTAGAATCAGATAATGGGAACATTATGATCCAGAAACATGATGGCATTACAGTTGCAGTGCATAAAATGGCCTCTTGACATCTTTTATCAGTTCTCCTGCAGTTTATCAGAGGGAATGGATCCTGTGCTAATTATCTTACTAAAATGATTGAAATTTCTGGTAGCTAGGCTATTCATTTAAGATGCACTAGGCACTTTTCTATTTATTTTAAAGATGCTTTTTAACATTCTGTGGACTAGACTTATCAAGATACTGTGCTAGTAAGAAAGGATTATGTTTTAAAGCAGCAGGTCCAGGTCACTTTGTATGTTATGTTCAATAAATCTGGAGGAAAACTTGAAAAAAAAAAGTAATGCAATGATTAGACCTCACTCACTATATCACATAATATTAACAGAGTACTTCAGTGTAACTAACTATAAAAGTATGAAAAAAATAATCTGTCTAGGGGCCAGCAGGTGGTGTGGTGGTTAAAGGCGCTGGAGTCCCACATGGCCTACAGTGGTTCGAGTCTCAGACCTGGTGGCTTACTTTCTGACTTTCCTTCTCTTTTCTCTCTCTGTCTCTATCTCATTAAACTGGAAAATAATAATAATAAATAAAAGTTAAATAAAATAATTCTTGAAAAAAAAAATATCGGTCTACAATTAGCATGAACTTGGAGCCAGCAGATAGTATAGTAGTAAAGGCACTGGACTCCCACATAGTCAGTTGCAGTTCCTGTCCTGGACCTGGTGGCTTGCTTTTTCACATTCCTTTTCTCTCTCTCTCTTTCAAATTAAAAATAATAAGTAAAACTAAATAATTAATTATTAAAAGTAATTATGGTAGACAAGGTTTATTGTATATTGCTTCTCAAAAATAGTCTGCCACTCTGGTCAAATATGCACATGAAATACTAAATTTTATACCAGGTACTGTGCTTAGTTAGCACTTTAGTAGAATTATCTTACTTCGATTAAAATAAAAATATCAACAAATTGAGAAGGGACTGGTTCCATAGCACAGAAGTTAAGTTCTGTTCAGAGAAAGCCAGATCCACCATGACCAACCACAGTTTGAATCCTGGTTTCAGTAGCTTGGAAAAAAAAAAAGTCAGCATATGTACCTGTATTACCAAAACACTGACAGAATGGAGAAATAGAAGGAAAAGGATGATGGTGTGTGTGACCATGCCCCACTGGGGACTGCTTTCTCTTTCTTTTTCCTTTCTCTTCCCCCCCCCACCCCTGTTTCTCTGGCAAGCACACATACCCTCTAGCAACAACAATAACAAAAATTGAGAACATTAGGGGCTGGTAGGTGTGGTGGTTAAAGTGCAGGACTCCCACATGGCTGACCATGGTTTGAGTCCCAGACTTGCTGGTTTGCTTTCTCACTTTCTCTCTCTCCTTGATCAAATTAAAAATAATAATGATGATGATTATGACAATTTTTTTTTTAATTGAGAACACAGTATTTACCATTTAAAACTTTAAAGGGCTAGGTAGCTACACAACAATAACATGACTGAACCTATACGTGAATGACTCTGTGTTTGCATGCCAATTTTCTGAGCACACAGGGCTCAGGATCTGGAATGGTTGAGAAATGGGGTGGACTGCTGCACAGAGACCCTTTTGGGGGTGCCTGTCTGTCCCTCTCTCATGGAAAAACTAATTAAAGAAATTTATTTTATAAAAGAAAATAATCTATACCTGGCCCAGCTGCATGGTGGATAAGTAGCACACCACTTGGGAAGCTGGATGCTACATGGAAGGCTCAAGTTCCATTCCTGAGAGAGGCTGAACAAGCCAGGTGCAGTTCCCCACTATTTGGGAGGCTAGGGCAGGAGGACTGACTGCAGGATGGCAAAATCCCGGGAAGAAAATATCTATCTTGGGCCAGCCCATGACATAGTGATTAAGGCGGCTAGATCCTACACAGCCGACAGCACAGTTTGAGAAATACACCAGGTGCATATGCAGCATGCTCAAAGTCCCAAAAGGATAGAGAAGTGGAAGAGAAGCGACCAAGGCATGACGACCATTCCCCAGGAGGTGCTTTCTCACTCCTCCCTACCCTATCTTTGTCTCTTATTCTCTCTCCAAAAAAAGAGAGAGAAAAAAGAAAGTCTTATGTGAATGGTCCTTAATATCTTTAATTCTAAACAAGGCAAGTAAGAGTTCCACAAAACCTTACCTGGACCACTTGTTTCTGTGGTTGTGTTGCCTGTGTTGATGAAATATGTGTTTTTTCCCGAGCACTTCGGCAACGGTCACTGCTCACTGAAGTCATCATTACAGTATATACAAAATAGTGTATGTACAAAATAGAAAATCTGCAAGAAAGTAGGCATGGTAAGCAAAACTTCCAAATCATAGTAAAAGGCAAACATATCATTCAGAGGAAAGGAGGACACTTAAGATAAAAGATAAAGGCTCTCTGGAATACAAATTCTAAAGAAAAAGCCCTCCAGGATTTTACATTTTGCTAGTATCTCTTAAACCAATTTTATTAAAGTGATCTAAAAATCTTACAGTTTATGGTCTTCACAATTCTAAACAAAAATCTCAAAGACTATCAAGTTTAATTAGCCTGGGTGTGTGTGTGTGCGTGCCCAAGATCCTGGGAAGGAGAATGGAGGAGAAGGGATTGTGGCATAGCCATCCCCCCTGGGGGTGACTTCTCACTTTCTGCCTCTGTCTCTTTCTTTCTGGTGAGCCACGTGCCCTATAGCAAAAACCTCTCCAAAAAAAAAGGTTAATTAGGAATCATTTTACTACTACATGTAGTTTCTAGTACAAGCAGTTCTATCTGCCTCTTCCCACTGGCAGTTTGTTATTTGAACCCAAAGGCAAACACCGCAACCAGTCAAGATTTTACCCAGTCATGCCACAATTCAATATGTGACATCAAGAAATAAGCTGATGTGATGTCAAGAAACTAAAGAACAAATTGAAAACAATGTATCTTCCAAAGACACAAATACAACTGGGCTCATAATTTTCTTTCATTTTATTTAATAAATATTTATTGATGAGCTACTACTCAGTGCCAAGCACACATAACTAAATATGCCATCAAAACATGATTGTAAGGGCCAGTGCGTGGCATGGTGGTTAGGAAGCTGGACTCTCATATGACCGACCATGGTTCAAACCCCAGACCTGGCAGCTTGTTTTTTCACTTTCCCTCTCTCTCTGATGAGTGTGTGTGTGTGTGCCCTGTATCAAGTTAGAAAATAATAATAAATATTAGGTCATCGGGAAAGTCATGACGCACTTTCCTATGCTTTTCTATGCAAAAACGCATCATGACTTTCCCAATGACCCAATAAAAATTTAACAAATAATTATTAAAATTAAAAAAAATGTGAAAGGCTGGTAGGTGGCATGGTGATTGAGGGCACTGGACTCCCATATGACCAACCACAGTTCAGGTCCCAGACCTGGCAGCTTGCTTTCGCGCTCGCTCGCTCTCTCTCTCTCCCCTCTCCCCCTTCTCTGGTCAAACTAAAATAAATCAATAATCTGGGACCAGCAGATGGCGTAATGGCTATGTCGCTGGACATCCATGTAGTCAACCTCAGTTTGAGTCCAAGACCCAGTGGCTTAAACTCATGGCAGGTGCATGTGCATGTGTGCCCAAGATCCCGAGAAGAGAATGGAGGAGAAGGGATTGTGGCATGGCCACCCGCCCGGAGGGTGATTTCTCACTTTCTCTCTCTCTGTCTCTCTCTGTTGCCCTTTCTCTCCCTCTTTCTCTCTCTGGCTTCCTGGCGAGTGCATGCACCCTATAGCAAAAATCTCTCTCAAAAAAAAAAAAAATCAATAAATCAATAAAGTTAAATAAAATCATTATTTAAAAAAAATGATTATAACAGTAAAATATCACTTTAAACCCATTAGGATGACTATTACAATTTTCTTTTTTAACTTTTAAAAACACAGAAAGTGTTGGTGAGGATATGGAAAAATTAATATCTTTGAACACTGCTGATGGGAATGTAAAATGATATGTGCAACTATAATGGAAAACAATATTAGCAGTTCCTCAAAAAAATACCAAAAAAAGAAAAAAAAAAAAAAAAAGAGGGACCAGCAGTTGGTGTAATGGCTATGTTGCTGGACTCCCATGTAGCCGACCGCAGTTCAAGTCCTGGACCTCATGCCAGGTTGTGTGCATGCCCAAGATCCAGAGAGGAGAAAGGAGGAGAAGGGATTGCGGTGTGGCCATCCCGCCTGGGGGGTGATTTCTCACTTTCTGTCTCTCTGCCTCTCTCTGTCTTTCTGGCGAGCACACGTGCCCTATAGCAAAAACCTCTCAAAAAAAAAAGAATAAATAAAATTAGAATTAATGATTCTTTAATAAAAAAAAAAAAAGCCAGCAAAAAATGTCCTGAAATTTGGGGCTGCCTATAACATAGCAATTAAGGAAGTCAGATTCCACATATCTGTACCTATGTTTAAGTCCTGGCTCAGTAGCTTGAAAAACACACCAGGCATATGTGCATATATGTTCAAAACCCTGATAGGAAGAAGGACTGCAGTGTGACCACCCACCATTCAGGGAGAGGTGCTTTATCTCTCTTTTTCTCTCTCACACTCTCTTCCTGGTAAGCTGGCACACATGCGCTCTAACAACAACACAAAACTTACTGAGCTTTTGCAAAACAAATGCCAAGGCAGTGCATAGGGAAAGGGGAAGTGTGACTAAAATCATCTGGAAAAACAGCTCTCAGAAAATAAACAAAGCTAACAGGATGGTAACTCAACAGATAAAATTTCTTCTATTAATTTCACATAAATCTTCTGAAGAGTGAATTCATTAAATCAAAATCAAAGTTACCAAAGTAACCAACATCCTTAAAAATTGTTACCCCACTGAACTGTGAAAATGACTAGGGCACAGAAACTAGATTATAAAAATCAACACTTCGTCTAATGTACTGTCACATGGGCAAAGTCTATGTTCTCTTCTCAAAAAGAGCTATGTGTAGTAAGCTGAAAGGCTTCTGGCAAAAACACAGTTGCCAGACCATAGGAATTCAGTTTCCACTTGTGTTCCATCCCTTCTATCATTCTCCACCCCCAAGAGTTCTACTACTCTGGAACAGGTTCCAAGAGAATTCTTAGAATAGAAACAGACAAGAGCAAGAGATTCTAAAAATAATCCAGTAAAATTCAAACACACATATCTCAGGTTTTTGAGCTGCAGAAAGCACCCAGTAACTTCAATCTACCAGATTTTAAACCCTATTTACCTCACTTTATTCAAGGTAAATTAAAGATGTGATAGATTTTTTAACACAGGTGAGAACTGCTGCTATATTTTTAGCCTCTTTAAAAAGAAAATCAGTGAAATATTCAAAACTTCCTCAGTTATTTAAAGGGCAACAATAATCTAAATTATTAGTAATACAAGGAAAGTAAGCTGAAAGAATAAACTAATTTGATTAAACTACAATGACTTTCTCTTTCGTAGAAGAGACATTTTCACAAAAAGTTTTAACCACTATTTTTTTTCAAGGACTCTTTTGGAGATAAAATACTTTAGTGAAACAGCTGTGTCTTCAAGTGATCTCAGTCTAAAATAAACTGATAATGGTTTAGTTGACAGCCACCTACATTTCTATTAAAGCTTACATAAGCAAATACCACAAATTCATCGTGAGGGCCCTACATTTTACGGCATGCAAAAAACACTTGTGTAAAACTTAAAATCTAAAAAGCATGTAATATCATGCCCTTACAGATAAACAAGGGCACATTTGATAATTCTGAAAAGTTACAGAATACTTGTTGATAACATGTTGAGAACAGAGAAGATTTCAATAGCCATCTGATAAATTTTTAACAGATCATACAACATCTCAAATTACAGGTAAACCCTGTATTCATTTGAGATAATATTTACGAAGTATCAGGATTGAAAGATACTCTGAAACGAAAATGTTGACAAATTTGTACAAAGTATCTCAACTATTAACATCAAATGAACTTATATTCCAGAAACTCCAAAATAAATACCCTTTTTATTCAAACTGAATATAATCAATACAATAACATGAGCTGCTTAACAGGCTAAGGGCTCAAGCACTAAAATCTGTATACACAACTTATGTTTGAGAAGTAAATCCCCATTAAGAATGCCCACAGGCGGAACTGGACAGTGGAACAGTAGCAAAATACTCAGTGGGGCTGACTCACATGGGAAAGTTCCAAGTTTACATATGATGAACTCCCAGAGTACACAAGGCACAAGCGTGCCATTATCAGGGCTAGCTGAGACGGGATAAACATGGCATCAGAGCCTGTTGGGTGTCTGCACTTTTTGCTTGCTTGTTCTCTTGCCTCTTGCTCACGAAAAACATAACTTTTTTTAAAAAAATAGCCCACAGATACTGCTAGTCACTCATTCATGTGCCCAGTGGTACAGGAATCACAAGAATGGGCCCACGGTCACTCATCTATAGGTACACTCATTCTCCGAAGTCTAAAACCATATGACAGAAACAAGAGCAGCAAACACATACTTTTACTACGTGCATGAAACCATTCAAAGGGCTTCAATACACAGTATTAAGTCCCTAACCTTTTCAACAATACTGAGGTACAGACGACTACTACTCTCATTTTACAGACAGGAAACTAAGACAAGCAGAGTTACACCTATTTAGAGGAAAAGCTACGATTCAAACCAATCCATCTGGCTCCACAGTCTGTGCTCTTAATCACTATGCTATGTTGCAAGACTGACTGTTCTGAGTCTACTCTGAAGCCTAAGGGTAGACCAGGAGGCCAGCTTGTTTTCTTGACTTTTCTACTGAAAAAATATTCACTGCCCTCAGATTGGTTCTGTAGGAAACCCATTTATGCACTTCTGCTGAAGACAAAATTTGTTAAGAATCTCAGTCAAAGGCTAGCCCCATAGCCTAGTGTTTAAGGGAGCTGCATCTCGCATGGCAGACCATGTCAAATTTCAGCCTTGGGGGACCAGCAGTTAGCGTAATGGCTATATCGCTGGACTCCCATGTAGTCGACCGCGGTTCGCGTCACTGGCCGGTGGCTTAAAACTCACACCGGGCACGTGTGCATGCGTGCCCAAGATCCCAAGAGGAGATGGGATTGTGGCATGGCCATCCCCACTGCAGGTGATTTCTCGCTTTCTGTCTCTCTGTCTGGCAAGCCCACACGCCCTATAGCAAAAAAAACTCTCAAAAATAAAAAACTTCAGCCTTGGTGGCCAGAAAAATATGTCAGGCACATGCCTATACATGCCCCAAATCCAGAAGGGATGGAAAAATGGAGAAGAGATTATGACGTGACCATGAACCAT